CTGGCGACCCTCCCGCTGGACCCCAGCGCATCAGGGGTCCGTCCAACATGTCCTCTGGAGGACCAAAGCTGAAAAGCAGCCATCCATGCCGAAACTCGGCTGTGGACGGGCTGCCAAGCACGACGCGCGCCGCGGCTCAAACCTGGTCAACGACCCGAGAAACGCGCATTGGGGACACCCGCGACCGCTTCGAGACCCTCGCAGACACCCCTCGAGTGCCTCAGCCGCGTAGATCGTCCTCTGGGCCCGGCGCTGACCGCCACGACCACTCGGAGCGCTCGACGCGCACCGCCGGGGCTGCCACGCGCGCGCGCGTGATGATGGAGATAAAAACACGGCCGCGCGCGGGGAATCCCATCGCGACACTATACCTTCGCGATTCCCCGCGCGCGGCCGTGTTTTTTTGGCACCAGGACCGACATATCGCCCCTCGACGCGTCGAAATGGCCCGGATCCAGAGGCCCCGTTCGCCCCGAAATCGTGCTCGTCTCTCGAGATCGAGAGCGGCGCGTCGAAGATCGCCCGCCGGCGCGGCGCGGGCTCGAAGGCTGCCGGGGCGCCCGGCGGACCGAGCCGCCGAACGCGGCCGTCAAAGTCGGGCGCTGCCCATCGGATCGGCTTCCCAGTGCACTGGAGCCCCTAGAGAACTTTAGGCCTGTGGATGCGCTCCGCTAGACGAGTCTTCCAAACGCGGTTCACGATAAGCACAGGGCCTCGCCAATGGGCGAGCGACACCGTGTGACACGCTCGCCCGGGGTCGATGAACGCGCGGCTGAGGCGCGAGGCCTAGGCGGGTCCTCGCGCGCGGATAGTTTATTAGCTTCCTACGCCGCGCCGCGGCACGGGTGGCCCGCGTGCGCGAAGGCCGCGGCGAGGGCCTCCGCGCCGAGGCTCTCGGGCCAGAGCGTGATCTCGTCGGGGCCGCCCGCGGGCATGGGCATGTCGCCGCGCAAGAGGCTGTTCACGACCCTCGGCCTCGAGCCGACCGTCGGAAATACGGCGCCGAACGCGTCGCTGTCCTTGAAGAACTCGTAGTCGCCGTCCTTGAGCGCGAAGAAGCCGTTGCCGTGGTCCCACCTCTTCCCCAGCCGCTTGAGGCCGTAGGTGTTCTCGGCGTGGTGCCGCCGTGCCAAAGCCGCGGCGGCTCGCGCCTCGCGGTCCGCGGGCCGCGGCGCCGCGAGCGCCGCCGGGTGCGCGGGCGCCTCCGCCAAAGCCGCCGCGCGCGCCTCGCCGACGGCGATCTGCGCGGCCGAGGGCGCGGCCTG